GGTTGGAGACTGGATTCACGAGAGCCGCCCCGACAGATGGCCTCCTGCCCCAGGAGGTCACGGCACCCACGGTGGCCCTGGCTGAAGGGTCCCAGGCCACGAGGGCTGGCCGTACCCCTGTTCACCCCGAGCTCTTACCCAATCAGAAACCAGGGCGCAGGTCGGCGTCTCTCGCCACCCGGGTCCTCCCTAAGTCCCCTGCCCCTGGCCAGGCCCCCAGCCTGCTGCTGAGAGTTGCCCTGATGAGTCGTGTGTCCCGTGAGGACGGTCCCCTGCTTCCCTGGGTGTTGGGAGTGAGCACAGGAGGACACAGGGCCAGGGGGCAGCGGGCGAGGACCCTGGGACCGGAACCCTGTGTCCAGCGTCAGGAGGGCGTGAACGTGGCTGAAGGTCAGGGTGTGGCCAGGGGAGTCAGGCACTGACCAGCTGACCTGCTCAGACTCCCAGCTGGCCGGGCGACCACTGGGGACAGGCCCTGGCCTGGGAGCCACGCGGCCACTGAGGGGACTGGGCCTGGGGAGAGGACACAAGATGTCACACTGGGTGTGTGTGGCCTTGTGGGCGCGGGGGTCCAGGGGCATCGAGAGGGCCACGGGCACGGTGCTGACCGTCAGTGCCCTGCGTTCCCCTTTGGAGGCTGGGGGTGTCCGGTGTTGGGCGAGGGCTGCTGACCTCGCGGCTCAGACCGGGACTGGCCTTGTCCCCGCAGGCCTCTGCCCTGGGGTGGACAAGCTGGGCACAGCGTTTGTGTCAGGTGTGGGGACAGGGCTGGGGACAGGGCTGCGGACGGCTCCGCTGGACCCGGGAGACCCAGCCAGCCGGGCGTCTGGTTCCAGTGCACGGGCTCGGTGACGTCCGGGACACGGGCGCCTTCCCCGGTCTCTGGACCACGGTATACGGGAGGAAGAGGCCCCGCGGGTCCCTGCTGGAGGCCGGCCATCAGGGCGTCCGGTGGCAAGGGCGGCAGAGAGTGCCCTTCAGGACGGCCTGGGGACGGGGGTGCAGGCCGGGGACGTCCTGAGACCAGGCACGTGCTCCCAGGCGTGTCCTGGGGACCCGGGGCCAGCGCCGGCTGCAGTCCTCAGGGGCTCCCCTCGGCTGCGGGCCCAGCTCCCGCGCGGCCCGGGCTGCAGGGTGTTGCCGATGACGTCCCCCAGGGCCCCTGCTGGCCCGTTGGCACTGAAGCGAGTGTCCACGGGCAGGCCCCCTCTGTCCCTGCTCTGACCCTCCGGCCTCCGCCCTCACCTCCCCGGCCTCTGCTGGGGGCGGGGCGCAGCCCCATGGTGGGCCTCAGAGCCGTCCCCAGTGCCCTGCCCTGGCCTGGCTGAGCCAGGGGACGGCCACCCCTCCCCGGGGACCTGCCTGGCCCTCAGCCCCTGTGTGGAGGGGCCTGGGCGCCAGCTCTGCCTGGAGACCGCAGGACCAAGGTGGCCCCGGCTCTGGGCCAGCCGGGCCTCACCCGGGGGAGGTGACCCAGGTCCCGGACCTCGGTGACCTGGGGACACTTTTAAAGTCTAAGCTGACTCTATACAGAGGTGGCCTGTGCCGGGGCACACCTGGGCTCCTCTGTGTGCACGAGGGGCGTGGTCAGGGGACACCTGGGCTCCTCTGTGTGCACGAGGGGCGGGGTCAGGGGACACCTGGCCCCTCCCTGTGCACTGAGGGGCGTGGTCAGGGGACACCTGGCCCCTCCCTGTGCAC